CATATGGTTTTTAATTTTCCAAAGTACGTAACGATGGACTGACCGTTTTGCTTGCAATTTGCAAGTTCCTTCTTCAGTGGATGAATTCGAGGACCGTTTGCAACAGAGAAACGATCTTGGATATCCTTCCATAGTTCTGCTGCTTCTTCTACCTGTGTGATGGAGTTTCTCAGGCTGCCATCAATTGTGTTGTAAATCCATGAGACCAACATGGCATTCACAATCCACCATTCTTCATAGTTTTCATCTCCCTCTTCTGGACAAGGGATGGATCCGTCGATGAATCCAATTTTCCGTTTTGCACGGAATGTAATTCTCATTGCACGAGCCCATTCTTCATAATTATCACCGTTTAGTTTGACTTGGGTGATAATTAATCCAGGTGTGTCTGCGTTCTTGAGTTCGTAAGAACTTCCCTTCGTAGGGATCTTCTCTTCCTCTTCGAAGAGCTTGCCGACGAGATTTTCTTCTACTTCTGCCATGTCGACGGTCGAGAAGGAAATTCCGGCGGTGATGGACCGTCGTTTGTCTAGATTAGGGTTTTCCTAGGAATCTTGCTCTGATACCATGTAAAGGAACCCATTCAACCAAAAGCTCAAGCTTTTGGTTGTGGCCCAGGAACAGTTATTTATATTCTAACACTTTTTAACAATTAAAATACCACAACTACTCCAACTTATTTTATTTATTACACCTCACCCACCTCATTTAATACACTCCATCCATTTTCATTAAGGGTATTATAGTAAACTTTCACCTTTTTTCAACTCTTCTTAAAAACCACCAAAAGTCAAAATGAGAACATCTTAGGGGGACGAAGAGAGTATTTCTCTATTTCATTTTGTCTCCAATCAAAATATCCTATCTACGTATAGTACTCCCTACTCCGTATTTGTTTTTGTATATAAATTTGGTGAAACTAAATCAGAACTGTGCAATTTATTTCAACAAAGGCAATAACATGAGTTTTCTAAAAAAGATGAAATCTTCATTCCTTAGAAATTTAAAAATATTTAAAAATGTTGGTAATTTTAGTCTCATTGGCTATTTTGTGTGATCGAATAGACAACGTTTCTCTATTCAAATATATATAATTAACTTTTGTCTATTCGTGTGTTTTCATTGATCATTTAATAAAATAAAATATTTTTTTTACCTTTTTTTGTACTCGTAGAACTTTTGACATAATTTTTTAATATTGTATTTTACCTCCTCTGTCCAAAAATTATCTTCCCGTAGACTATTCACATGGTCAAACTTTATTTACTTTATTAGCCTAATTTCGTTGCCCATTTGATAAAATAATATAGTCATGCCATTTCTAGTCTTGTAAATCTTCTTATATAGCTTTTAAATATGTAGTTTTAGTTTTTAATTCCACACGAGTTTTTATATAAAATGATTTGAAAATAAGTTCAGTCAAACATCGTAACGTGCAGCGGGAAGATAGTTCTTAGCTTGGACGAATGATGTACTTGTTATTGATATACTCCGTAATATTTTGCAAATGAAATGATTTCAAAAATTGAAGGATTTTGCATTCTAAACTCCAATTTATAATCAAAATTGAAACGAAGGAACTATATATTCTTTGTAATAAAAAATTAGCATTACCTTCTTACCTGTCTCATCAAAAACAATATGTCTGGAGACTTTTAGGCATATACCACCTGTAGCTCCAGTTTTTTTATTGTTAATCTGCATTATACTCTTTCCAAAAACATTCCTAGTTTAACTTGACAAAAGATTTAATAAAAATTAAAATGTGTAATTAAAAGTTATACAAAAGAGAGAAAGATTAAAAGCCATACAAAATTTATCAAAAAAGGAAAGAGTTTTTTTAACGTCCTAAGAAAAATTATACGTTTTTTAAACAGAGAGAGTACAAACTAGTACTCCTTCCATCTCCAAAAGAATGACCTACAACACTGTTTAAATATTACGGAGTATATAAATTTTTATTTATTTTATATTTTCATTAATTATTTAAAAAAATAATCCACATTAGAACACCGTACAAAGTTCTGTACACTACATAAATAGCTCAAATTCACATGGACTGTTATTTGTACGATTATTAATAATTTAATCACTCCACAAAACGCGCTTTTCTTTGTTTCGAGCTTGATTCCATCCGCAAGCCGGCGGTTATACAAGTGAATGTTGATGAATTCTTCGACAAAATATAAATCAAGAATTAAGTCATCTCTACTTGATAATTCCGTGAATCTTGTTAGAGATGAAGTCAAAGATGAGAGTCACGAGAATAGAGAGACACATGGAAGACGTAAGATTGGTGTGTTAACTCTGCCTAATGAGATCTATTTATACACCCAAGAGAAACCCTAATTAGTATCTAAGGATAATTACGTTCATTGAATAATTTTCAATTAAATACCCCGGGCATATTATTAGGTCAGTGATCAATTAATTAGATAAATGATAAATCAGGCCACATAATAAAAAAAACCGTATCCTACGGTGAAATAAAAAAATATAATTCCAAAATAAAAAAAATAATATCGGAGTATACTCTTTTTTTACGATTATCACCTGTATTGATTTATAATAATAATATACAAATATTAGAAGAAAAGTGCACCGTTTACCACCGAACTCTTTGGAAATTGCATGGTTTACCCCTGAATATTAAAAAGTGCATCGTTTACCTTGAACTCTTTGAAAATTGCCCGATTTACCCCTAATCATTAAAAAGTGCACCAAATACTCCTAAACAATTTAAAACGTTGCACTGTTGGTCCTATCTGCTAGACCGGTGCTCGTAACAATCTAAATTTCTAGATCCGCCACTGATCGCGAAGTGTTTTCTACTCCTAACCCCCTCCCCCGCCATAGCCTAGCCCCGGAGAGTCGCACTCCCAATTGAATTGACATTCATACATGACAATTTCATATAGTTTCTTGATCCCAAAAAGATATTTTTCATTCACTATTTGAAGGACAACCTTTGTACTATTTTGGTCTTATTTCTCTAAAAAAAATGTATATTTTTCCTCTCAATTCTGGATTTTAAATTTGCAATGATGTGATGTACTTTAAAAAATTAAGTGCATTTATTTAAGGAAAATTTATTTGTATCCCACATTTATACCACAAAGGTTTACTCTGATATTAAATGTAAGTGCAAAATTGATATTATGTCAATTTTACACTTATATTTTATGTCATGGTAATTCTTTGGATTACAAAATGGGGTGAAAGTAGGAGAACCCTTACTTTAAAACCAAAGAGAATTGATCCCTGTATTCTTGAATTTTGTGCAATCAAGTCTTTTCACAAGTAACTAGACGAGGGATTAAGAAAAATGGTCTTCAATCCTCCTAGTGGTATATATAGTTTTCATCTTTACTATGGATGTGACCAAACAAATTAATGAGAAATCAAAATAGGCTTTTTAATTTGAATTTAGACATGCCCAAAAATGACATGTTGCATTTAATAGTGCTACTTACGTCCCGGAGTATTTGTCCGCTTTCATTTTTACACACTATCCAATACATTTCTTTAATCCATTTTATCTTGTAATTTGTATATTAAAAAATTATAGAAATTATAAATTAATAATCTATATGTTAAGACAAATCAAACAAGATTACACATGACTATATTTAGGCTTACACATTGATGGTGTAAATTACTTGACCGGTCAAACTATACTAGACCGGATCTAGAATAGTTGGCTTGATTTCGTAAAGTAAAGAAAGTAAAAACACTCGGAACGACCGGTAGGACTTTAGGTGGAACACCTGTAGCCCGAATTATATTAAAACAAGGAATGCACGGTCACTTTTACAAGGGAGTTTAGAGAGAGTGAATTCAGATCCCTCTTTCTGAGGTTTACATGAGTATTTATACTAGGCTAAAGGGGGACAAGGCCACGTGCGCCCACGCGGGGGCACGCTGTTGATGTGCTGCGAGGTGACTGGTTCTGCACTGCCTTGTCATCTTGCGTGGGGGGCTGCGCCTTTGTCGCGTTCTGGTTTGGAAATATTCCTCCAGCATCTATGCAATTCCAACCACTACAGTCCAAGTCCTTTTGGATTCCTCCTGCCGACACTCCCCAATCTCTAAAAATTGCACCGGTTGGTTCTTGTAGGTTGGCTTGGCCAACTTCGAAGGATGGATTTAGACCATAGGCGAGTTTGACCGGTATACTATCCGAAGTACACCGGTCAAAGTTTTGGGTCAACCCTCTGACGACTCATCACTTCCTTTCGAGCTCGACTTCTTTGACCGGTCAATTTTCTGGTTCGGACCTTTGACCGGTCATGGGTGAAATACACTCATCAATAAGCCCTCCACTTCTCGGTTATGCAATTTTGTCATGAGCGGGAAGTAAAAACTCTGAAACAAGACTTCAATTTTGAATTTCAGCTTTTCCCGCCTAAGGATTTCAAAATTCAAATTCGAACTCTTAATTCCGCCACGTGTTGGACCCCTGTCGCTGCAACGGTCGGCTGTCGTTTCGTCTGCCAGGGTTATCATTGCGCCGCCTGACGCGGCGCGCCCTCGAGTGGCCACGTCGCCCCTTTCCCTTCACTCCTCGCCTATATAAAGAGTTCCATCCCTCTTTCTTTCTCACTCTTCGCAATTCGTTCCCAGAGCTCCTACCGGTCAATCTTCCTCTTGCATTCCAGCCCCCCGAGCCAAGTAAGCCTCTTCCTCTTCCTTAGCTTTTTCCTTTCGTTCTTCACTTTTGTTTCCGGTCAATGTATTCTTCCGACAGTCAAGACATTTCCGCCTCAGATGCCCACGCATCTGAGGAATCCCCGTCTTCCTCTTCGTCGACCGGGTCATCTTCACCCGTTCTTGGACCCTGATCGATTCCCAATCCCAACATCCCCGAACCACAGCCGGTCAACCAGATGCCCGGTCAGATTTTTCAGGAGAGGGATGCACCGGTCGAAGACGAACCGGCCCCCTATGACCCTGAAAATGAGTCGTACGAGAGATGGGTGGACCGGCTGGAAGCAGCCGGTTATTCTCCCCTTCCTAGCAGCTACCCTTAGACATTCCTCCCCGGGTCTCTAAGATTGCGCAAAACAAAGCCCGCAGGAATCTCCCGGCGGGGTATGTTCTTGAGTACGACCCCAACTGGCCCAATGTTATCGAGCCCCACCGGGATGACAGGGTAGGTTTTCACATCATTTCTTTAGAGAGTGGCACCGTCTTCCCCCTCCGTCCTCTCTTAGTAGAGTTATGTCACTGTTTTAAGATTCTCCCCGGGCAGATTACGCCCAACGCACATCGTTTCCTCAACGCCTTTGTGAATATCTGTGTAGAGCTCAAAATTGATCCTTCCCTTCGCTTGTTCCTTTTTTTGTTTGAAGTCCTCCCCGGTAAATCGGGTTGTGATGGTTATGTTTACTTCAGAGGTCGTAATGGTCGTCAGTTCATTTCTGACCTTCCACAAAGCAATAGGCAGTGGAAGGAAAAGTTTGTTTTTATAAAATTCCCCACCGATTCTCCCTTGGCCGGTATTAAGTGGAATGATCACATCCTCAAATCCCAATACACCGAGCCGGCTAGCGCTCCAGACTTGGAAGAAAGTTTGGAGAAACTTCTACAGGGGGACCCGTTCACCGGGCAAATGTTCCATTACGGGGCCTGAATCTGGAGGATCCAACCGGGTGGCAAGGGTACCCCTCAGGCCCAGGAGGCAGCGGGGCACGGGGTGCCCTCCCCGGGCAACACTGCTGAGGCCGGGGGCCCAAGTCACCCAGGTATCTTTCATTCGTTCTCCTTAGTTCAATCTCACAGGTCAGAGTTTGAATACTCACAAGTTTTTTTTTGGTTTTTGTAGACATGAATTTCAGAGCCTACAACATGCCGAAGACAACCGGTGGCTCTTCCTCCGCTGCCGCCAAAACTGTACCGGTCCAACAGGAACCGGTGGAGATCCATTCTGAGGAGGAAACTCCTCAAACCGGGGGAGCTGCTCAGGCCGGGAACGTCCCGGTGGATCCTCCCCTCGACAAGGGAAAGGGGAAGATGAGGATGAAGAAGACCACCACCACCCATCCAGCGGCGAAGAGGAGAAGGGGGGAAAACACCCCGGGTGCAGAGTCGATGGAAGAGCTTTGGGTCAAGATGACTCTTAAGCTGAAAGAGGTAATATTCGCCTGGTGTTCTTTTCAAATTTCCTACCTATCGCTTGTACTAACCGGTATGTTCTCTTTTCGCAGATGGGCGAGGTCGGGCCGGAAACTTTGGAGAAGCTCGCAGAGGACTCCACCTCCCGGTCACTTCAGCTGGAGGAGAAACTGAAGGGAGTTGAAGCCCACAACCGGGAGCTGCAGGACCTGATAGCCCGGCAGCTTGAAGAGGTGTCCAATCTTTCTATGATTGCCGAGGGGGCCAAGGCGAAGACCCTCCAGCTGAAGGAAGAAAACCTGAAGCTGATGGAGGAGTTGGAGGCCAAGGAGCGAGAGTTTCCCAGCAAGGCCAAGCAATGGGTTGGGGAGAACCTGGAGGAGGCGGCCCGGGTGATTACATCTACCCCGGAGGTGACGATGGAGGCCTTCAAGTTCATCTACCGGGAGGAGCAGGGGAAAGAGATGATCACACAGATCGGCTCCTACGGTTTCATGTCCGGGCAGAAAAGAGACCGGGAGGCTACACATGCTGTCTTGGCGGAACGTGACCCGGCTTTTTCTGCTGAAGCCTATGGTTTGGCCCCCATCCCCGATGAAGAGCCTGAGCCTCCATTCCCCCTTGAGTAGATCTCTCCGGCTGCGCCCGGTTGTTTCTACTTTTGTAAAATTTTAACAACTCGCTATTTTCCCGGGTATGCCCGGTGTATTTGTAAACATTTAACATTCCCATTTTGTTTGAATGTCATGTTTTATTTCCATACCGGTTATTCCTCCATATCTGCTTGCTTCTTGATTGATACTCCGTTATTGCTTCTTAAAATACCATCATAGAAACTTTGACCGGTTAGACGTCGGTTCGCCTAGCCTCTTGGTAGACTCCAACCGGTGTAAGTCCAACTATTGTTTTCAGATGTCTTTAGGTTGAAAATCAACTCGAGTAGACTTGACCGGTTGAACTCCAACTTGATGGTCAATTTGAAAAATATTCGACCGGCTAGACTTCATTTTGGTTTTTGAACACCTTCGTTCTTGTTTTGAAAGTGAAGCACAGTTTGACCGGTAGGTCCCTTCTCCACGGTCTGACCGGTGATCTGTTTCGCCTTGTAGAACTTTCGGAGTTTTGTCGTAGTAATACCCAACCGGGGTATTCCTTTTTTTTTTTTTTTGCGACCGGTAGGTTGTAGGTGGAACACCTGTAACCTAATAATTTCTTGAAGTATCCTTAACCGGTAAGAATACTGGAGAATTAACCATGTTCGAATGGTTTTGAACCTTCTCCAAGGTTCAAATGCACCCTTCTTCCAGGGCCCCCTCTTCCGGGTGATTAAGTCTTTTAATGGCCC